TAAACTAAAAACCCGTTTTCGAGGGAGATCACGAAGTTTGGATGACCAGACGAGAACCTGATAAAAGCCATAGTTCAGCTCTTGTAACTCGGAACGGGGTGGCAGTAAGCAAGCAAAAGATGATTGAAGGGCACGAATGCGTGTGAGAGAGAGATTCAGCGTTTGGTTAGGGCAATAGACTGCAGCTCGAGTATTTGACACACTCGGCACATCGCAATGTAACCAGTGACACCCACGGAGTGCCTTAAGAAATCCTCCTTAGCACCTGGGAACGTTGGCGTCCATGCTTCAGAAAGCAGTGAGATTGGCAACCGAACGCCTAGGACAGAGGGCGTCCCCCAGGCAGAGCGGCGTCCACCCCGGCAGAGCGGTATCCCCAGGGTAGAGCGGTGTCCCCCGGCAGAGCGGCGTCCACCCCGGCAGAGCGGTATCCCCAGGGTAGAGCGGCGTCCCCCAGGCAGAGCGGCGTCCAACCCGGCAGAGCGGTATCCCCAGGTAGAGCGGTGTCCCCCAGGCAAGCGGCGTCCACCCCGGCAGAGCGGTATCCCCAGGGTAGAGCGGGTCCCCAAGGCAGAGCGGCGCTCCTAGACAGAACGGCGTCCCCAAGGCAGAGCGGTGTTCCCAGGGCCGACAGCGCCCCAGCTCTATTTGGCTGGGACAGGAACATGCCAGTCACGAAGCACAAAACATTTTACTTTCACATTTAAACGCATCCTGCGTCACAACGAGGCGGCCCCATTACATCCAACTGTCACGGTCAAAGAGCCATTATTTCCGCAGATGGAGTAACATCACTCTTCATATTTTTTTCAGAACTCGTGCTTTCATTGTGATGGCCCGATGATCACACAGAACACCTCGGCCGTTCAGTGCAACTCTAAGATACAGTTGGAACCTTTCGCTTGGGTGCATTTCTGGGATCAGCGCCCACGCTCAGCAGAGTGTGTTGCGTGAGCCCTAAAACCGCTGCATTATCGTGAGATTACCAGTCAAGGGCACAATTTCGTGGTTAAAGCTTTAATTGCCGCAATGCTCGGCACGGTCTGTCCTACCCTCTGAAGTCACCTGACCTTTTAGGGCGGTCCCAGGCCATCCCAGCCACAGGCATATAAACAACCGTCTAAAGCGAGTCGAACCCAACCCGCACGGCTGGTTGACCGGGAGGCAGGTGCTCCCAACCAGCTGAGCTGTCGGGCCGTACGGCTGCCAGTTTCCGTTCGTATGCGTGTTGCGCAATGCCATAGAAATGGAATGCCCGGATCAATATTTCTTAGAAGTTAGCTGACGTGAAATCGCATGTTTTAATTGCTCCTTTCATTAATTCAGTGTGGTTCCTTCCACCAGGTAGATAAGACATTTTGATGCAAAACCCCTGATTGTAAATACCAACGTAACGTAACTTGGTGACTTTTAAAAGGCAAGTCTAAAGACCCACAACACTCTCCAAAAAATTTGACTTTAGGGAACAATCCTGTGCGCATGAGAATGTTAATTCCCTCGACAGCATTAACCGTAAATCCCATAGAACCTATCGAGGATCTGCACCATCATCATGAATGTAGAACATGCTGCAGATTATCATACAGATCATGCAGAACGCCGTAAATATCTCTCGTGGAATTATCTCGCGGGCGTACAGAAAGCCCGGGGCAGACCCATATTGCAGCGACCATGCGGTGCATCTAAGCTGACAACGGGACCATGTTTAGCTGGTCCAGCGGCCGCCACAAATCCGTCCGCTCCAGACCAGCTTGCCTCACGTGATAATAGCGACGCTGGAGGCAAGGCAACGGCACAAGCACATACATGGCACATCACCCAAATCACAAATTGATCATTTCAGATTCGGAAGAAGACTTGTCACCTGCGAGCGGGCTCGTGACATACGGCAGGATATACGGCAGGACATACGGCAGGATATACGGCAGGATGTATGCTTACGCCGTCCAGCTCTGTCAGCTGAGCTGTCAAAGGCGAAGCGAAAGGCGTCAACACGAACGGAGGAATGGTGGAGAGCTTTGGCTGGAAAACTGAGGACGTCAAACTAGCAGGGCAACGGGTCGGCTCACCTAATGGTCCGGTCACGTGTCAGACACAATTTTCAGCCCTCACCGAACGGGATGCAGCGGCTCAGAAAAACACATGCCTCACCGTTAAGTATGGTACGCAGTGGAACATTCAGATTACTACTAAAGGTCAAAACACGTAGCTGAGCGCTGCAGTTTGACAGGCGGAGATGGCGCTGGCAACGGAACACCTTCGC